GCAATATATTGATTTTATTTTGATTAATAAACTTGTTGTTATGAACTGATAAAGAATAATAAAAAAAAGTAGATTGAGTTGTAATTCAAGTTGAAGATAAAGAAAAGTAAAATTGCAATTAAATTTTTAGTATTTTGATGGAGATGGGAGAAAAAATTGAAGAAAAGAAAAATAAAGAAGAAGAAACGAGGAAAATGAAAAAATGGTGCACTGCAAGGAAGAAAAAGAGAAATTATAAATTTTTTATACGGCATATTGGGATCGGTACATCATGCACACGGTATTACGATCCCCGATATAATTTTCCAAAGCTAATAGTAATGCTCTTTGTTTGAAGCTTGCTATTAATTTAACTAAAGCTCAACCTTCTCTAATTAAATTCTGTCTACTGAAATAATATTTGATCTACTTTACAACCTCAAAAATTAATAGAAATAATTTCATAAATATGACTAAAATAAAGATGATTTACAAAAATGTGACTAGTGACTATGTTACGGTAGTAATGAAATCTTAGTAATTTATGTTCAAATTTTCAACTTAAGTTACCATGAGACTACATTAATGTAATTATTAGTCATATTTGTGAAAATAAGTTTTATTTTACCCAAAGTAATAAGACTCTAGAACACGATGGGTATGTGTCCCTAAAATTTGATATGAGCAAAGTTCTAATAGAGTGGAGTGGTCCTGTTTACGGTAAGTGATGAAAAGTATGGGGTTTGATCGGAGGTGGGTGGATTTGATTATAATATGTGTTTCTTTTGTTTCTTACTATATCCCTTTTGACAAACATATTTGAGGTCTTATTAGTCCCAATAGAGGGTTACGGTAAGGGGATCAATTGTCACCATATCTTTTCATTTTGGTGGCGGATGGGCTTTGCGCACTAGTCAACAAAAAGACAACGTTGGGACTAACGAATAGTGCGACAAAAGCCAAAAATGCTCCTAAGATTACACATCTCTTCTTTGCAGATGATACTTTCCTATTTTTTAAAGCCAATGATGGAGAATGTGTGGCAGTGAAGAACATCCTTCATTGCTATGAGAACTTATCCGGTTAAGTCATTAAATATAATAAATCTAACTTGCTTTTGTGAGCAAATGTTGATGAAGGCTTACGTGGAATGGTGTCCAGAGAGTTGCAGGTCACTAGAATGAAGAACAATATGAACTATCTTGGCGTGCCATCTTTGGTGGGTCGGAAGAAACGGGAGATCCTGGAGTTTCTAAAGGAAAGAGTGTTGAAGAAAATTCAAAGCTAGAATAATATATTCTTATCTCGAGCGGAAAGTAAGGTTTTGTTGAAGACATTGATCCAAGCAATGCCAACTTACACTCTGAATGTGTTCCTTTTGCCGCCGGAGCTTTGTGAGGAAATTGAGAGATTGGTGAGTGTATTGGTGGCGGGAGGAAGAATTGTATGGAAGGTGAATATGTAGGAAAACTTGACAAGCATTGTGTATACCAAAGAGTAAAGGATGCTTGAGATTTAGAAGTAGAAGGTTAATAGAATTTAATGTAGCCATGCTTAGGAAGCAAGCTTGGAAGGTTAAAATTGATACGAGCGCGCTGGTGGGTAGAGTTTTAAAACTCACTATTTTCCCAACTATACATTTTTTTACAACTCAAGTAGGAAGTAATCCGTCATTTTCTTGGAGAAGCATAATGGAGGCTCAAGCTGTAATAGCTAAAGGCATTAAATACTGCGTTGAAAATAGAAAAAGCATTACAATTTGGGGGGACTCGTGTTTACCTGGGGAAAATTTCAGAAAGATAAATTCTAGGCAACCATATTGTGTTAAAGATATGAATGTAGTATTTTTAATTCATGACTCGGAGAGAACCTAAATTGTAACAAGATTATGAGAGCTATTTGTGGAAAGAGATAGATAACTTATCCTTTGTATATCACTCGATCCGAAGCTACTACATGAGACTTGTAGGGGAGTTTAACCCCATGTAATGAATTGGAGTGGACATAGGTGTGGAATGTGCACATCATGCCCAAAGTAAAGCAATTTATTGGCAAGTCATGGGTGGCATTTTACTACGACAGGAAATTTAAGGCAATGACGTATATTGATTTCAGCAGAATGTAAGATGTGTAATGCAGTAGAAGAATGAGTGCAACACTGTTTCAAACTTGTAGCAAAGCACGAAAGATTTGGGTGTGCGTTTTCAGAAAGAAGCTTATTTCTTAGGGTGGGTACAACATTTCTTCGAGGGTTTGAAAGAAGAGAATACTTGCAATTTTGTCATGTGTTAATGGAGTATTTGAAAGCATCGCAACAACATGGGTTGAAAGGGAGATGATTGCTCCAGTAGAGGCATTATTGCAGGAGGAGCTGGAATGTTGAAAGCTTGGCGTGAGGCACAACAGTGGGTAGGGAGAACAATAAATGGGTCAAGAGGTGGTAGGATTAAGTGGATCAGACCGAAGGGGAGTGAGTTAAAATAAATGTGGATGCTGCGGTGAACCAGGATAGGGGATTCACATGTGAAGGTGGGTTGCTAGGATTTTAGAAATGAGGAGGGGTCCTTTTTATGAGCCCGAAGTGCAGCGGTGCGAGCGGAATAGTTAGCTAAGGAGACAGAGGTTGTGTGGGTTCAAGAGGCAATGGTCGAAGCACTTGAAAGTGGCTGGACACGAGTGATTATAGAGGCCAATGCTTCATTGGTGGTCTCAGGATTGGCCGGGGAAAAGAGTTGTCATATTTTGACTTTAACTTAGATGATATTCATCATTTGTTAGGCTCTAGTTCAAGTTTTATTTTTAATCATTGTAAGCGGGCGTTAAATCATGTTGCTCACATTCTTGCTAAAGTAAATGTGACCGGGTAATATGGTCAATTAGTTATGCAGAACCACTAGATTGTATTACGAGCGAGATGATTAGTGATTTATTTAATTTAATATACTCTCTCCGTCCCATTGGACTTTGTCAGCTTTCCCTTTTTTATTGTTCCAAAAAACTTTGTCACTTTCTTATTAAAGCAACTAATATGTGGTTCTGCACATTTCTCTCTCCTCTGCACAAATTTCAACCACACATTTTTTACTATTCTTAATTCTCACCTACTTTACATTTGGCAAAGTCCAACGGGACGGAGGGAATAAGTGGTAATTTTTCATAAAAACTCTAGAAAATGATAGAAAATGGATACACAAGTCACTAGGTGGCGGAGAAGGCAACATGAACATTGCTAGTGGAGAAAACTGACACAAAGCACAAATATACATAGTACAAAAGAAGAAATTAAAAAACTAAAAAAAACGCTGCACTGACTTTTTAACTTTTAGCCGCTTGAATTCAATAAACTATGCAAACCAACAATTTACCAAACAATAATTTTAGAAATTTAAATTTTAAATGATCAATTCGTTAATTTTATTTTCACAAAGTCAAAAATGGTGACAAGTCATTTTCCAAACGACTTTTTTTTATACTGGAAACTGACATATTATATTAAATCAAAACTCGCACTACAATCAGGAGAATTGCAAACAATAAAGTAACCATCCGGCACTAACCTCCCTCTAGACAAACATAACCATAAGCCCACCGCCCCCTCACTTCTTTATCAGACATAGAGTAGTCCACCCCAAAAAGAGCGAGAATAATCGCTGAATATGTGAGAGCTTTGAGGCTATTAGTGGCTGAGTCAGCCTGATTCGCTCTCAAAAGAAATCTTGCAATTAAGGTAAACCAATCTAAGAACCTACCAACCTTATTATTTGACCTAATAAAAACAAAATAAAGATTAGCAAACAGAACATAGCAAAAATTAATAAACTTCAGCTGGTGGAACCGCGGAACCCATTCTTCAGGCGTTGTCTTCCAAACCCTAGTCACACAATTCTGTAAGGTGTTAGAGACTGTATAACCAAGCTCTATTCGTCGATCCAACTCCGCCGAAATTTTTGGTCCGTTTTTGACAAACAAGTTTTCCGTACAATTCTGTACAGATGGGTCGTACGGATTCCATACAGTTGGGCCGTACGAATTATTTTCCCCTTTATTTTTGGCCGAGACTCCTAGTTGGCTTAGGGGTAGGTTTTACTCTCTATAATACAAGCTCTCTCCCTTTGTAATCCCTTGGATCCGAAAATAGCAATAATATTCCTGGTTTGGTAGCGCCCCCAGACGCAGTTATTCGTGGCGAACTAGGTTACCAAATTTCATGTGTTCTTTAATTGTTTTTCGTGTTGCGTAAATTAATTCCTAACAAATTCTTCTGTGGTGGCGGTTCACAAGGGGGACAAATCATCCACATACCATCTTCTTCCTCCATCACCTGAGACGGTCAAAACAACTGCGTTGCCCCCCCAACAGCTGATTGGAGCCCAAATTCGCCCCCTTTAACCGGGAGTCCGGGACCCATACCACCAGCGTTCCACCCGGATCAAACACAGCTGGTGCAGCTCCCAACTCAGTCACCATCAAAGCCAAAATAGCCAAACCAAGCATCGAAAATTCGAGTCTCACAACCCTAGTTGTCTCAGATCCACAGTCGCCTTCGAAACCACTGAAAGCCATTGACACCTCCGTACGTCCTGCCGTCCTGGTTCGTTGAGATTTGGAGTATATTGCTTATGAACCAGTGATAGACTCCTCTGCTGATTGGTGCTGCTGTTGGGCTCCAATATGTCATCCAAGAACACTGCTAGTGCCAAACTTTGTCGTGCTTCGCTGCTGTTGGATGTCGTCACAACTATCGACCAAGCCTTGCGGACGAATGAATTTTCGCCGCCCGAAAACCTAGACACTTTGACCTACCCGTCCGTTTTTCCCAAATGATTTGTCACCCAATGAGTTTAGGAAAATGATGTTTGTACCCACTTTTATACCCACTTTTGTACCCACTCATGTTTGTGAAGTTATTTTTTTTGTTTGTGAATTCTTTCATAGACAAAATATGTTTGTGAAGGAATTCAAAGATATATTTTGTCTGTGAACTGACTTCACAAACAAAAAAATAGCCTTCATAAAGGTGGGTATAAGGTGGGTACAACAAGCATGATTGATAAGTTTATTTGGGATTTCTAACCAAGCATAACAGTAATTCAATATACTTTACAAAACACCACAAAATTATCTCAAGAAACCAAATTTTCCATAGATAAGTTTATTAATCGGTTTGGTCAAACTTGGTCCACATTTGACCAAAATCACAAACCTGGACGGTCAAACTCCCTGATTCCGATCCCCGTCCTTTACGCTCTGCCGTCCGCACAACCGTGTGAAGATTGAAGAACGATCATCAGGTCAATATTCTCATGAGCCGCTTTATCTTCCTGCTCACTGTAAATTTCATAGGGTTTAAGAATGGTTCGAGGCAGCGGCATTAGAGGCCAACTCTTGGTCTTTTCTCTTGGTACCTGTAGTTTTATCACAAGGGAAATTCGAAGGGATGGGAGAATTATTTCTTTAAATCCCACCTGGCTGTGCACGAGTCATTCTCCGACGATCCATTTTCCCACTCTTTGAGCCACTCTCATCCCTCCGAGTCTCACAGACAATTTTAAAAACAGGTGGGGTTCAATGTTTCCTCAATTGAAGTATGATTTTTTCTTCTTACCATTACTCATACAACTTGGTTACTTGTACTAATTTTAACTACTGATCTTTATTACGTAATAGAAGAAAGAATGCGGCTTTCATCGCTGTCTCAAGAACCCACAACACCGGCGGGCTATGTGTCCAATCTCGGCTCCTTTCTGTTTGATTACTCACAAAAGTCCATCAGCCGAAATTTCACTTCTTGTAATGTTTTGTCTAACCACTTGTACTTCAGTGATTTGCGGGGACGAAGCTGCATCAGCAGGCATAAACACCGGGTATTGTGTCTGAGTACACAGGGAAGTGTTTCTGCTAGGCTTGGCAAGGCGCTAAATCTGTTTAACAGAGCTGTTAGGCTCCATTCTGAACAAATCCCTCTTGGGTTTGCTTCAATTCAGGACGGCTCTGTTGAGTGTAATGGGTTATCCGGGGATGGGAATGGAGTGTTGGAGGATGAGGGGATCTCAACCAGTGGGGTTCAAGAGGATGGTCCTAAGAAGGTGCTGATTTTAATGAGTGATACCGGAGGGGGCCACCGTGCCTCGGCAGAGGCCATTAAGGCGGCCTTTAATCAAGAGTTTGGTGAAAAGTATCAGGTTTTGTTGTTATCGATTCCTTCAAGTTATTAATCAAGATTTTGTTGTTGATTCCATATATGTTCACAACTTATATTCCTTCCAGGTAATTGTATGTGATCTGTGGACTGAACACACTCCATGGCCATTTAACCAATTGCCCAAAAGTTACAGTTTCTTGGTTAAACACTCTTCTTTGTGGAAAATGACTTATTATGCTTCAAGTCCTCGTTTTATTCACCAACCCAATTTCGCTGCAACTTCAGCTTTAATTGCAAGGTAAAACCTGGACTTTCTCAGTATATTTCCATTAAGTTTGACAATCATTATTCTATGCTAGACTGGACTATTCTGTTACGGTTTTAAAGTGCTGGTTTCTTTGTTTGAAAAGATTAAGATAAGATCTAGAATTGTTTTTTTGTAGTCAAGATATGTATTTCGTTAAAGATCAGCTTCTGTTATCACATTCTTGATTATTTAGGGCTTGTTTGGTTTGGGGATTTCAAAGTGATGGGGAAGGAGGGAATAAATCATATTTTACTAATTTATCTATATTTGTTAGTTTTAGACTAGAAATAACTATATGAGTAGTTATATTTGTATCTATACATAGTTTTTAATTCCACACTTTATTTTCAATCATCTAAATTTAGAAACTATTGAAAATATAAATATCACCGTCAATAAATTCCCGAAACCTACAAACCCTTGCAGCTCTAGTTTTTATATTGAACTGTTTCTAGTTAATGATCTATGGTTTAAAATGTAATGAAAATGTATAGTTTTTTATTAGGGCATGTTTGGCACAACTAGCTGAAAAGATACTTTTGTGAGCTTTTTAATAGCCGTTAGATTTTAGTGACTGAAAAGATCTTAAAAAGAAAAGGTGGTAGCTGTTTGATAAAAAGCTGACTGTTTGATTTAGTTCGGTTTGGTATACAAGCTGTTAGGATTAATTAATACTAAAAGTCACTAGCTTTTCTTAGATGCTACTCCCGGTAGCATCTCAAAAAAGATCTTTTAATTTTTGAAAAGCTCTTAAATATTGTCATGCCAAACACACAACTAGAAGCTTTTAGGAACTTTTTGAACAGTACAAAAGCTAGAAGTCAGGGACTTATGCCCGTCAAACATAGCCTTAATCTTCACTCAAGTTCCAATCATTTAAATTTAGAAACTATTTTTAAAAATATATATCACCGTGCCTTCCCACATCTGAAATCCCCAAACCAAACACGCCCATATAGTTCTTGTTAACTTGTCTATGTTTTGATATTGAATAGTTTCAAGATGATGAGCTATGGTTCATAATGGAATGAAATATGACAATAGTTCTGGACTCTTTATCATTTTTTTGAATTATTTTTTGTTGAGCAATTAGCTCTTGATTCTTGGAGTCCTTTATTCTGATTTTTCTGTAGGGAAATTGCTAAGGGTCTTATGAAATACAAACCTGATATTATCATAAGTGTGCATCCTCTTATGCAACACGTGCCACTTCGTGTTTTGAGGTCGAAAGGTCTCTTGAACAAGATTGTGTTTACTACAGTTGTGACGGATTTATGCACTTGCCATCCAACATGGTATGATTAATAATGGTTGTTTTACTGTCACGGGTTGTCAAACAGGTGTTTCATATATTTTTTGTTTCTTTTGTAGGTTTCACAAGCTTGTAACAAGGTGCTATGCACCTTCTGATGAGGTAGCACACCGAGCTGTTAAAGCAGGTCTTCGATTTTCTCAAATTAAAATATTTGGGCTTCCAGTGCGACCATCCTTTCTCAACCCTGTTCGGCCTAAGGTGATGTCAAATACATATTATCCATTGCCTTTTAGTGTTTGTCACTGATGTTTTATTTCTTGAAGAAGTAAAACTTAATTGTGCATTTCAAATACTTTGTAAAACCTTTTAGAAGCATATCTTATCTTAAATTAAAACCTTTGATCATCTAGCGTGTCTATACTTTGTTATACCTCTATGGCCCAAGGCTGTTCAAGTCATTATCCTTTTTGTCATTTTTTTTTGCAAGATGTTTCGTTTTTAAGTAATCAAAGTCAATTATATTGTGTGTTTCAATCTGTATGAAAGTTTAACAGTACAAGAAATATCATAATTTTTAATGTCCGTGTTATGGTTTTTGAAGTCATAGCTATTGACTTTGATGTTTAATTGTGATTAAATTATCTTAAATTACAAAATAAAAATACTTGTGAACAATACATTTTAGGTGATACTTATTATTTAACTGACAAACATTATGGACACGTTATGTACTTCTGTTCAAAGATGAACATTGAAGGACGTAGAAGTCAAAACATGAAGGGCGTTCACATGGCTTACATACAACAATGCGTCCATGTGTGTCAAACCCTTTGCTGCGTATTTTTAAGAATACGTTTTCATTGAAATCTGTCCAGGCTGAACTAAGGGATGAGCTTGGTTTGGATGTAGAGCTTCCTGCAGTACTTCTAATAGGTGGTGGTGAAGGAATGGGTCCAATTGAAGCTACTGCTCGTGCACTTGGAGATGCACTCTATGATGATAAGCTTGGGGAACCAACAGGTCAGGTCCTTATAGTATGTGGGCGTAATAAGAAGCTTGCAGACAAATTGGTTTCCATTGACTGGAAAATTCCAGTCAAGGTGTGTTTATGCTCTTCCTTCTGTTTTCCTTTGTTTTCATAAAAATGCAAACATTTTGATTAACAACCTGTCAACCTCATGTTTTCTAGACATTTATAAAACCTTACAGACAAATTGGGTGGAGAGGCAACACTATACGCAGCATATGCGTTGAAGAACACAATGATATAGTGAGAGAAGAAAGGGAAAAGAGTTAAATAATAGGATAAATAAAAGAGAGGCACAAGGCTATGTTACAGCCTACAGGAACCGGACCGGACGGGGCGGGTCAATTGGGAACTTGGCGACCCGACACCTAGACCGGTCCGGTTGACAGCCAACCCAGAAATACACTAAAACCCACTATTACTCAGTAACCCATTGGGACCCGGATCGGACCCGGAACCAGCCAAATCTGGAAATCCCAGAAAAATACGAAAAACCCGCCCAAATCCAGAAAATCCCGGAAAAATACGAAAAACCCGGCCACAAATTAAATTTTGGGGCAGCAGAGAGCCAGAGAGTCAAACTCCCATTGCTTGGACGTAAAGAACACTCCGTAATCCATTGGACTGCAAGGGCCAGTGGTTATACCTCGTTCTTTATGTGTAGTTATCACATTGATATACCATTTTAAGTTAAAAACTAATTTTAAGTATTAATTTATACATAATAAGTATAAAATTTATTATTGTTATTATTGTAGTACCAAATATCTATAAAAAAAATTCTAAAAGTTGATGCCTGTAAGATTTTGTAATAAGTATAGTTAGTCTCACATTTTTGAAAAAATGTGATATTTTTTTGTTTGTGATATTCTTAAATATTATTCTAAAAAGGTAATCATGTCAAAATTATTTTATAAATAAATGTATGTAGAATCAAATCAAGGCTTGAGGCTTGGATGTATAAATTTTATATACATTTATAAAATTATTTTATAAATGTATATAAATTATTTTAGCCGACCCAAAATCTTTTGGGATTAAGGCTTGGATGTTGTTGTTGTATATAGAATCAAATCAAATAACATTATGGCTATACGTAGGACTTACTGTACTTTAAGATATTATGAGTGTGTTTTCAATGCTTACTAGTATTTTAATAATTTGATCATTGTGAAAAATAATTACCTTTTATTTTTATTTTATATTTTATTATATTTATATTGAATAGAATAATTTATAAATGTTGACCGGGTTGACCTGCTGGGTCTGGGCTGACCCGTGACCCAATCATTTGTACGGGTCGCTCACCGGTCCGATTCTTGTAACATAGGCACAAGGGCTTTCTCAGAGAAGATTAAAAAAAGGACGAAATAAAAAGAAAAACAATACAATAAAATAACAGAAAAGAGACATGTTTCTGGCCTCAACACTTGTTAACCCGTTTTAGCAGGTCACCTTTTCAGACACTTCTGTCATGGGTAGGGATCCTTATACTTGGGAACAATTTGAGTTAATCGATAGTACATACTCTGTATTAATTAGAGCCCATGGGCAATAGTTGGAATTATTAATACCAGCTTTCCATTTTTTTTATTTATATAAAAATATATGTACTCATCTGTGGTGCACCGTGCACCACCGATGAAACACCATCAGACCATTAAATCTTGAACCTTGAAACTAGCGCTTAATTAGTTCAATGATTTGTTGTTTCGTTATAAAACCTTAATTTGAATAGATCTTTTAAGCAGCTAGTTCCAAACCGTGACAAGTTAGATTTGCCTTATACGTATTTTATGTTCAGTATATGAAGGTATTAATAGATGTCCAGTTTAAACGTTCAATTTTAATCTATGTGGTCTAGGTAAAGGGATTTGTCACAAAAATGGAAGAGTGCATGGGAGCTTGTGATTGCATTATATCTAAGGTAATGTCTTTATCATAATCAGTCCTGTCCACAAAGATTTGGCAAAACTTTATCATTCTGAAAGGTTATTGGTTTACAGGCTGGTCCTGGAACTATTGCAGAAGCAATGATTCGTGGGCTCCCTATAGTTTTAAATGACTACATTGCTGGCCAGGTGATTGCTCAACTCTCCAACTTTCCCAGCTAAATTTAGAGTTTTTATTAATTGATAGTAATACTTCTTAGCCAACTACTTAGTGCATAATCTACATAATTTAATATTCAAAACGTAGTCAAATTGGAGACTAAAACAATAAATGTGTAGCAAAAATTTGGTTAGGGTGAATATTATTTTCTTTTATAATTAATCTCTTTCCCATCCGCAAAAAGCAGTTGAGAGATTTAGAGGACCTATATTTCAATTTCAAACGTAGCTGTTGTATTTAATACATAAGACATAGTATATGCAATTGTGATAATGCATTTGTAAACAATGAATTTGTTGGATGTGATTGTCTTTATTGGGCACCTCAATGAGGTGCCTGTATGGCGAGATGAGGCCAAAGTGAAAAATTATAAAATTTGGAAAAATGAAATTTAAAACTTGAAATTATTTAATTTCGGTCTCGTCGCACTAACATTGCATTGATAAACGCTTAGGAGTTTGTGATACTGCTGATCATAAAGTTACCACGTTTTTGTGCAGGAAGCGGGGAACGTGCCATATGTGGTGAACAATGGTTGCGGGAAATTTTCTAAGGTTCCAAAAGAGATAGCGAACATAGTTAGTCAGTGGTTTGGACCTAGAAGAGATGAACTGGAAGCGATGTCTCGCAACTGCCTTCGGCTGGCTAAGCCAGAAGCTGTGTTTAAGATTGTCCGGGATATGGATGAGCTTCTCACTGAAAGAAGGTTTTCTCATCAGTATTGTCCAGCTTAATTGTAGTACCTTTGACCTTGCACAAAGTCCATATCAATCAATTATCTGGCTGGAATGGGAACACCCCAAGTTTGTCTCCGAGAAGAATTTATATTTAGGGGTTAATCTTTTATATGTATACAAACCTTAACAGAGCTCTTCCATCTGAATGATACATTTGTCTCTTTATTCCATATTATTCCAATAAAGACTTTACGACCAAAAGTCGTTTTTGAGAAATTTGGTATAGCACTGGCGAATGTGTTAAATTTATAGAGTGCCTATGGTGTAAAACTTAACTGCATAATGATAGTAACGTTACACAATGACAAATAACTTTTGTACACTGCTCTTACATTATTATTACACAATAAAAAATACTCTTTGCTTCTCTCATTTACTCCTCTCATTTTGCTCTTGTTCTTCTCTACCTTTTTGTTTACGTTTTTTCATTATTACTTGCATAAAATCCATCTCTATTTCTGTTTTCCCGTCGTTCTCATTATCATTTGTTTTGCGCACCTACACACACTTATACTCCGTATTTCTCACACGGACAATTGAAATCGATCACACAAACAATTAAAATTGATTCATTATACAAACAAGTGGATATTTACTCCCCGTCCCCTATCTTTGTCTTATTTTACATCCTTAATTCATTTTACTAAATTTGTCTCCCACCATATTTGGTAAAATTTAGATAGTTATAATTCATTTTTTATTTTATTTACATTTTATCAATTTACTATCAATTACACATTTTTATTTTCAAGAACCATACCGCTCCAAAGGTAATCTTTATTTATGTACTCTCTCTTCTCTCTAGTGATAGGAACCCTCACGGCCGTCTCCCCTTTTGTAGGGGTTGAGATTTTCCGTCGCCCCTATCAATATGGACTTGGAGCAACAAATTATACTGATTTTATATGTTCTAATGTTTGGGATTGCAACGTCGGAGGAGATATTGTTGGCGGATAAACGAGGTGCGACTGAGAGGTTGTATCGAGACTGGATCGTGAAGCCTTAGTCGGCCATTCCGACGGTGGTGGAGTTAGTATTCACCCATATTGCCAGAGGTCTTCCTCCTCGGGAACCACCTCCATACAAGGAAGAGCTTTGTGGAAATATTTTATTTCAATATTATTTTCTCTTTAGTAGCAATTGTTTATGTTTTAGTCTGAGTGGATTTGGTTTGATATCGGTTCTGGTCGTTTTAGACCTAAATTTGCCTATTTCATGTTTAGTGAGTCATGTTACTTTGTATGAGGTGGCTGACTCTAAGTTTACTCAAACTTAGAGGTGGCTGACTCTAACTTTACTCACATAATAGAAATGGATCCGTTACCAGTTGAGTGCCAATGGTGCAACACTACTTGTAGTTATGGAACTAACAAATTTAAGCAGGGATGAACATAGTTTTTTTTTTTTTTTGAGAAAACATAGTTTATTTAAGAAAGAGCAATCTTTTAATATTATCCTGAATTTTTTATTTTTAAATGTTCTATAGTGAATAATATATTTAATTTGAGTGGTCCTTTTTTGTTTTGAAAGCATATTCAATTTTCTCTCTCCAACTCTCCTATCATAATAAAAAATTGTTTACTCATGTCTAGGAGTGGGAAAAACCGAACCGAAACCCGGAAACCGACCCTGGACCGACCCGAATTATGATCCCGGTCCGGGTTTTTTCTTTTTAACCGGCTCGAATTTAAAAAACCCGGACCGAACCCGAAATTCCGGGCTCATTAACGGGCCTTAAAATCTATAACCCGATCCGGACCGATAAAAACCCGAAACAATTAGCTTTAATATAAAATTAATATAATATATGAATATAACTTTATAAATATTTCCTAATATATGATTATAATCACAGTGCATTAAAAAATGATTTTGCAACTTTTAGTGACTACAAATATGTTCAATTTGTTTAGCGTAAGCGTAATGACAATGAAAATATATTTATAGCAACTATAGTCACATTTTATCTATAAATTTTATTTCGTAATATTTTTAAGAAACCTATATTATTTATTTACATGCATCTTAAATAAAATATTAAGATAATTTTCTTCTTTGGATTTGAATTGTTGGTGATTTTGGAGACTAATATATGTGTTATTATTTGCGATTTGTATTTTTGATTAATTTTGTTTGAAAATGGGTGTTAAAATATAAAAGAACAATGAGATATTTCAAGTTCGGGCTTTAATCGACCCAACCCGAACCGAACCCGGGCTACCAAAAACCCGACTCGGATCGAATATAATGGGCTTTGTTCCGGTCCCTAATTTCATAACCCGGGACCTTCCGGGTAATTCCGGGTTTAACAAAAACCCGACCCAGACCGATCCCACCCCTACTCATGTCATGTTCAATAAACTTATACTCCAAGTTGCAATATTCCATATCACCCATATGCATGATTCAAACCAACATACTTCGTATATTAGATGAAGCCACAAGTTTTATTGAAATATGAGAGTCGATTAAATTGGAACAATTTAGAATCCCAGTTGAAATATTCCATATCAACCATATGCACGATTCAAACCAACATACGATAGTATAAAACTTGGATTACAAACTCTATGATCGAAATAAAAGCTTTTAATATATTCTCATGTCTGTGTCAAATAATAGTGCAAATGATCTTTGACTCATACGAAGTATATAACTGAATCTTATGTATATGATTTCAAATGCTTAATTGATACATTTTACATGTAGTGATCTCTATGAAATCTTGTGCAATAAATAAATAAATATATAAACAGTTGTTATACCATGGGAGCGGTGCATGGTGAAAATCTTGCTCTCACACTCATATGCAATGTAAATTGTGTGCATCAACATGTAACTCCAGGCTAATCAAAATGTAAATTACACACATTCAAATGTAATTCATTGAAATGTAAACTGCTTTGATTCAAATGTAATCTGGGAACAAGTCAGATGTAATTTGTGAATGTAACTTTAGCCTATTCAAATGTAACTTGAGAACAAGTAGATGTAACTTGTGAAATCAACATACAAGAGAATGGAAAAATTCAAATTCTAAATTGGAATAATACACAACCCTGCTAAATCAAATCAAAAGAATTTGCTTTCAATTTTAAAAGGATTATGCATAAATCTTCCTGAAACAGCAAACTTCATTCGTTCACTAACAGAGAAAGAAGAAAAGAGAAGGACATGGGGGAGGAGAAGGAGAAGAAAGAAGAAGAAAGCTTATCTGTACTGCCGCCCGCCGTTAGCCATAGATCAGTCTAATAGCGGCTTCTTTTTTTCTAATCTCTAAAACGACGCCGTTTGAGATCGACACACTTTGCGGCTTGCGCACGGCGGGCCGATCTCACAGTACAATTTGAGATAAATAAAACCTTAGTAAAAGGGGGCATGCCTTTCCCGGTTCACTTTCCCGTTCTATTGGCTTTTGACTTTTGTCCGAGATAGGTGGTAAAATATATTATACACCCGGCTGTACCGTGTCACTTGTACAACCAGGTATTTTTGTAATTATATGCAAACTGGAGGTCATTAGTTAAGGATCATGGCTTTTGCTTTCGCTATTTCTCCACCGTTCCTGCCTTTCCGATTTTTAGTTTTGCTTTTCCTTACTGCTCTTCCTCTTCCGTTACTTTACTGCTCTTCCGTTTTTGTTAGTTTTGCTTTTCCCTTCTTTTAGTTTTGCTTATCGTTTTTTCTTTCTTTTTTATAGTTCTGGTTTTCCTTTTTCTTCTTTTATTTCGCAACTTTAATTCTTCTATGTTTCAATTTTCTTTTTCTTTTTTCTGCTTCGGTTTTTCTTTTTTTGTTTGTCTCTAAATTTGAACTTTTAGTTTTCCAACTTTAAATTTTCTTTTTCTTTTTTATGCTTCGTTTTTTCTTTTATCTTTTTATATATACTTTTTGTCTTCTGGATCACTAATTTTGAACTCCTACTTTTTTGTTTTTATGTAATTTTGCTACAATAACTTTTTGTCTTTTTCATGCAATTCATTCAAAAATTCATATCAAATGCGATGCAATAAAAACATATACATCTATTCTTTATATTATACTGATATGAGCATACATAAATTGATATTTGAGCATACTAGAGATTTTAAATGATATTTTTAATTTTTTCAATGCTCATTTCGTAAGTTACCTATGCTCATTTGAAATTGGCGTAATGCTCACTTTAAAATGAGTATTACACCAGACATTTTAAAATGTCATATCCATGCATATATGTGTAATGCTCATTTTGAATATTTCGATGCTCATTTCATAAGTTATGTATCGTCATTTGTTGAATTTGTACTCATACTATGCTCATTTTTAAAATGTTATATTCATGCAAATTTTAAAAGTTGCATATGACATTGGATTCACATTGTTAAATTCTTAATACTCAATTGAATAAGTCTAATGCTCATTAAAAGTGTTTTAATGCTCATAATAGGTTTAATGTTCAACAAAATTGTCGTGATGCTCAACAAAAACTTATGAGTTTCATATCAATGCTCATTTTGTAATTTACATATGCTCAATTGGTACTCATGTTGTGCTCATTTTTAAAATGTCATAATGATGCATATTTCAAAAGTACTATATTATATTAGATTCACATATTAAAATTTATAGGAATTGATTGTAGATATAAGTTAATGAGTTTTTATAAAAGAAAAATTAAGAAAAAAAAAGCGAATTACCTATATGAAGTTGATATCACAATACTCATTTATCGACTCTTAATGCCCAGTAGAATACGTTTGATACTCATTAAAAGTGTATTAATGCTCATCTAACAATAACCGCGATTTTCACTGAAATTACGAAAATGCCACCGTTTTTTTGTTTTGATATCAGCTTTCTTGTAATAACACGGTGCTCATTATTAGACGCTTAATACTCATTAAAATTGGACTATTGCTCATTAAACGTTTATTATTGCTCATTCACTAGAAACCGTGAATTTCATCTCAATAGCGGATGTTTGATGCTCAAATATTAAATGTGAATACATAACGCGTGAAATGAGTATCAAAAAGTTCAAAATGAGCATTACGCCAATATGCATGGATATGACATTTAAGTTGTCTCGTGTAATGCTCATTTTAAAATGAACATTACACCAATATCAAATGAGCATAGCTAATTTACGAAATGAGCATAGAAAATTTTTAAAAGCTCATTTAAAATATCGAGTATGCTTAAATATCAATTTGTGTATTCCGTATGCTCAATAGACTAGGTCTGGTGCTCATTAAAAGTTCATTATTACTCATTCTCCAGAAGTCGTGATTTTCATCTCAATAGTGGAGGTTGGATGCTCAATTAAAATTTTATGATGTTCAACTAACAAACCTTACGATTTTCATATCAATGTGCACTTTGTAAGTTAT